GTATATTTATTAAGCCTGCTAGCTTTATGGTTGAAATGCTAAAACTGGGGACTGATGTATGGAAGCATATTGCAGTCAAATTAAAGAACAAAAAAAAAAAAAACAATTGTATTTTAGAAAAAAAACAAGATAACTTAAAATAAAAAAAAGAAATTAAGCATAATTTATTTTTTACTTAGCAAGATAATCTTTCTGAAAAAGAATTTAAAAATCCCTGTTTCTCTTTAATCACGAGATAAACTGTAAAGAGACTGAAACAACGATGCCCAGAAAGTACCGTAGGTGTGTTCACAAAGACAACAAATTAATAATGATCACATCTAAATAACCAAGAGACAGGAGAATTTCCCAGTGTCTCAATCCCAAAAGAAAGTAAAAACGATTTAAACTAAAAAAAAACGGGACATGTTGAAGCTTCCCTAAAGGAAAGACATCTTGCTTAAACAACAGAACATCCTCTATGAAATCACAGCAGAATTATCTCCTTAATTCATAAAAACAGAAAAGCTTTGTTTATTTTATGAAAATCATCTTAATAATTCGAAAAAACAAAATTAACACACGTTCCTTACTTCCTCCGCCCTATAATGATTTTACTTGCATTGTAGTACACAAAAATCCTGTTTGGGTTTCTTTTTCTGGAATAGTATAACCCTTGTTTAATTCTATTGCAAAGTATATTAAGTATTATTATTTTAATTATGTATTTTTTTTCTTTTTCTTAAATAAAAGTAAAATTTTCATGTTTATACCTATGTTTATACCTATAAGCAAGAAACCTCCCATCTACATAATCATATTACAACTAATTTTTCAAACCCCACACATCAAAATAATGCAGACTAGTGCACACATTTAGATTATTTATTTAGTAATTATTAACAAGCATGTTTTATTCCATAATTCAACCTTTAGGTTTATTTAAATTTCCAATAAAAAGAAAGTTTTACAAATTCTTCGACATTTTAAATTATTAAAAGTAACTGCATATTTACTTTGGCAAGCAACGAGTTACTTTCACTGACCAGTTACTGAGTTACTAACTCAGTTACTTTTTTGGAGAGGTAACTAGTAACTATGGCGGGTTATTATTAAATATATAATGTTTCATACGTGGTAAACTTTATGCCCATAAACAGCAGCTGTATTACTGTTAGTGGTCTGGCTGTTAACTTCCTGTCTGTGTTGTTATCTCCCAGCTTTGTTTTTTCCTTTTGCTTTAAATCAAAGATTCAACTTTTTTTTCCTTTTTTATTTAACCCTGGGGCTATTTGGAGTAATCAAGAAATAGTTTTTACTTTTTTTGTTGTTTTGTTTTTATACTTTCAAGGTGGACATTCATGCTGCATGCATTAGTGATTTTATTTAAAAAAAAAATGAGCTTATAACATCTTTTTCCATTCGGAGCTAAGAAATAGTCACAAATACATTTTAAATCTTCCCATTTGGACAGTTTTTTATTCTAAAGAAGTCAATTTTGAACACTTTTAAAATACCTCACTCTATTTGAACCCAATTTAAAAGGCTAACAGTGTATGTTTTGTTGTATTTTTCTCATTGTTTACAATATGATACCTTTACTTTTGGATGCTACACATGCTTGCAAGTTCAGCTTTAGCATTAGCACCCTGATTTCTTGACTAACAAGAAACATCCCTACACCTACTTTTCTAGGTTGGTGTATTTTATTATTAAACATTCTAAAATAAACTACCAGCTTTATTGCATTATAAATGATTAACAGGATAAAAGCTTGCTTATATCATGTAGTTAAAGCTTAAACCTCATGGAACAGATATTGTTTTTAAGGTAAAATGTTTTCTTTGTGTCTATAAGGTATGAGGAAGACAAGAAGCAGTGGAGCGGCATGCTGAGGGAGATGCGCTATGCCGCAGGCTCCTCCTGTGTTTCTATGCGCCTCAACGCTGCCAGGATGCCCAAATTGTAGACAGAACCATTTTCCCTCTCAGCCTCATCTATTTAACAGCTTCCAAAGACTCCCTCCTCCTCCTTTTCCTCCTCCGAGCTGCTTCTAAGGCGATGGGTTGATCTTTGACATTAATATTTTCTCTGAACTCAGATGATTTTTATCTGTACAATAAAAGCTCCCTTCAGCTTCTCTTTCAAAGACGCCTCATCCCCTGAGCATAAAAAAAGAAGTCGCAATTTAGTTTGATCTCTAAATCTCTGTTTACACAATTTTAGCATGTCTTTTGTAAAAAATAATAAAAAAAAATATTTCTCCTTCTTGCCTCTGCCTTTGCTTTTTCTGCTTTTTTTATGTTGTTTTTTTAGGGCAGCTTGGGGCTGCAGGTAATGCATACTTGTAGAAACTTTCAGGTAAACATGGAGGTGGAGAAAAACAGCGACTACAGCCTTGACACTAAATGACTGGGTAATGATTTTTTAAACGAGGCTTAGGTTGGTGTCAAACTGGCTTCTGAGATAAAAACCAAAGAATCAGAACAGATGTCTGGTCTTTAACTCTGGCTGTAAATAAAATGTGTTTACTCTAACTGAAAAATTGTTTCAACTAATTAAAAAAAATATTTAAAAAAAACATTTACATGGATTTTAAATGCTTTTTAAATTGATTCCTAGCATTTTAACAATGTTTCTTTTTTCTTTTTTCCTTTTTTTTACCTGACGTCAGCTGTTTAAAATTGGACACCACTGGGTTTTTCACCAGGACACTGATCCCAAACACAGTTCAAAACTGCTAAAGACTTAAACTAATTTATTGTCATTTTGTGTAAATAGTGTGTATGCAAAACTAAATTTTGTTTATGCAGCTTTCCGACAGTAAATGAGCAGCCGCTTAGCGGTGAAAATCAACATTTCCATTTACAAAGTGCAGCAGTGATCAAAATGTTAACTGTATGGGAGAGACATGGTGCAGAGGAACTGGGTGAGCATCAGTTCTTTGGAAGAGCACTGACTTTAAAGGGTCTCAGTCATGTTAGCAAGCTTAGCCTACTAATATTCACATTGATGTCGAAATCCAGCTTTTTTTGAGCCTGAAAAGAATTTATGCTATGGCCGCAGACATGGACATTACTGTACGCCGTCGCCATCTGCTGGTAGCTGACATATTAGATATATTAGTAGGGCTGCAACTAACGATTATTTTGCTAATCAATTAATCTATTGATTATTTTTTCGATTAATCGATTAATAACCGGATAGCCAAAGGCTCCCTAAAGATTGTTTTTACTGAATTAAACCAGATGAAACTAAAACGTTTCCACTTGAGGAGTTCTGGAAAGAGAATATTGACAGATGAAAAAAAGTGTTTATATATTTTTTTGCAATTCTGGTATAATTGCGGCTGTAAATGGGTTTCTCTGTCAGCTAAAAGCATGTTTTAGAGTCACTATACTTCAGTTAAAGATTAATCGATTACTTAATTAGCTGACGCTTATTTGACGCTTATAATAATTGATTAATCACAATTTAATATTTTTCCGATTATTTGTGTCAGCCCTGTATATTGGATATATTTTTGTGCTTTTTTAAACTTAATATTGGGCTTCTCTTTTTACATTGTATTAATTTGTCATAGATAATTGATTAAAAAAAATTCTAAAAAAAGACCAAAAACAGAAATATATAATTCTCCAAGATGGCACCATCATTTCATAAGAAACCCCTTTAAAGCAAAAGGAGGGACCTATTGGTAAGGAAATGTGTAACATTATAGTATGTGACCTTTAATTGTGATGTAATTTTCTCTGCGGTGTGCTGAGAGATTTTTATCCAAATATTAACAGAGGGGTGCATATTAGGTGGGTGTAATTTTAACTTTGTGTCGATGGGAAAAAAATCACAAAAGGTTCAGTTTTAAGCTGTTTTTTGAAGAAATTGTTTGGTATGTGTAATATTGTTATTCAACCCTAGGCAGTAGGTTTGTAGAAATTAAAGAGGATCTAGCCAATGGTTTCCCAGAAAGGCAAAATCTCAAAACTTTAAGATCGTTTTAAGCAAAGAAAATGACATAAAATAAAATGATTTTTTTTAGAAAAAGCAAATGTATTTACATGAACACAAAGTGAAACATAAATGTGAAATGGAAGGAAGATTCATGGTTTAAAACCAGATATATCTGTATTTACGGCTGCTCAGTGGCGCAGTGGGTAGCACTGCTGCCTTGCAGCAAGGAGGTTGCTGCAAGGCCCAGGATCTTTCTGCATGGAGTTTGCATGTTTTCCCTGAGCTTGTGTGGGTTCTCTCCGGGTACTCTGGCTTCCTCCCACAGTCCAAAAACATGATTGTTAAGTTAATTGGCTTCTCTAAATTCTCCTTAGGTGTGAGTGTGTGCATGAATGGATGGATTGGATCGATATCTGTATTTATAACCAGATTCCCTTTTTTTACTGTGTATTTATGTTTACTATGTTAGTTCTAGTTCTCATAGGTTTACTATGAGAACTAGAGTATTAGTTTCCTCAGTTTTGGAAGAGAATTTGGATGTATGAATTTTAATGGTCCAAGTTTATGGTAAATGATTAGTGCATACATTTTTAAAGCATTTGAAATAAAGACTAAATTAAAGTAAATAGATAAAAGAATGCCGAAACCCCTTTAAAGAGCAGTAAAAATACCACGGTCTGGTTTATTAGAAACTCTTTGTTAAGAATCAAACAAGAAGACTTTTTTTTAAATGGCTGCATAAACACAAACAGCTCTTCCTTTCTGCATATTTCCCACACCTCCTTGTTTTTCTTAAATGACACACCATGAGCATCTGTGCCAGATATATGTTAACAGGTGTCAAAGTCTTTGAACCATGTGTCAGCCTGGGAAAAATGAACAAAGACCTCAATTGAATCACCTGTTTCCTGAACAAAGCAGCACTCAGGAGTTTGATTTAACGAGACAAAATAAATATTTCACTCTCTCACTTCTCCTTCATTTCCTGCAAACTCCTATGAAACCTGACCTTTGTCAGTTTTAAGCATGGCACAGGAATGTTGTCTGCAAATGGCTAAAGGTGATTCACACAACAGTGCACCTTGGAACTGAAATATCCTGGAGTTCCCCCCCTGGGTGTGGAAGGCTGAGTGGGAGGTGAAGAGATGAAGGAATGGAAGCAAAAACAAAGACGACACACTAAGGACTTGGACCGCACACTAATGAGGACACATTCATTTCAAGTAGGTTAAATATATATATATGTTTACTTGTATTGATCTGTGTTTTTCTGAAATTATGGGGCATTAATTATAACTGCAAATGAATGTTTTTTTTTTCCAATGTCCCATCGTTTTCAATGTGTGACTGTACGCAGCACATCTCCTCACATCCATAATAGGACAAGTTTCACAAGCAAAGCTACAGCTGTGATATCCTGAGAGGCTTTCACAGACCAAGCTGTTGACAAGGAAACGAGATACCGTTCGCTTCTTTCCCACTGAGGCGCTTTGATTGCTTCCTTTCTTCCCCGCTCTGCTCACCTCTTGCTTTTCAGTCCTGCTTCCTCTTTCCTTCCTCTGCAGTAATTGCTGCTGACCGTCTAACGACAGGTATGGGATTAGAGCTTTACTTCTGGTCTGTTTTTAATGTCAGTTGTTATTCGTACAACTTTGTTGGGTCAGCTGTAGATAAAAGCGACAAAAGCTGACCTTCTTCCAGATGGTTTGTGACCCTAAAATGCAACCGTTTTCCATATGATCATTTTTAGAGTACAATACTCTATTTGATTTATTTTCCTATCTGTTATCTTCATGCACTTTTCTAAGGTGCACATTGTGTGACCACTTCTACTATAACCTTTTGCAGCTGTAAACACCACAATTTCCCAATTGTGGGACAATAAAGACATTTTCTATTCTATTCCATTCTATTCTATTTTATTTTTCAGTATTTTATGGACAATTTTGTTTCAATTGCTGTAAATACTGGTTTATAGGGATGATTTGTAGCTTTTTCTTGTGAACGATGATGAAATTCTATCGTCAAATTAGTCAATATTCAAGTATGTATTAATAAAAATAAAACAACAGACAAAATAGGTCTTTTTTTGTAGCTTAATCTTACTAAAACAAAAAAATACCTGTAATATGAGAGCATTCATCATGCATTTACAATAATAAAATTATTAGATTTCAAACCCAGTTACATTTTCTAAACTCCAACAACTATCTAAACATAGTTTTCCTCAGTTGTGTTTTTTTTTTTTATATATATATTTTTCTTTTTGTTTCATTCTATCAGTCATAACAGATTCGATGTTAATGATCAGTGTTTGCTTAATTATAGAGGTGACCTATTTAGATTTAATTTAAAGTCTTTCTCCAAACTGATTAAACAAACATATATTTTTTTCATTTAAATCAATGCATGATGTTTTACACGTTTTATTTAAGTAGATCTTAATTTTTGTTTCTAGATTTTATTAAAAGCTTAATTGCACACATTTATTGTTATTAAACCAACCAATATTTTTTAAAATCACATGAATATGCTTAATTATCCCTCATACTCCACATTTATTTACTGATCAGTTTGTCCTGTTAATTTCCAAAGAGATATATGTTGAAATTAAAACCTGCCCCTGATAGCATTCTGTGTAATGAAAGTCTAAATTTAAATTAAACTAGCTAAAGTTGAACACAAACCTACATTTTTATTTTAACCCATCTACTGTCTCAACCACAAGCAACAGCTTGATATTAACGTGTTACTTTAGCTTGATAGATAAATACTTTCAATTGCAATTGAAGAATTTATTAATTTTAATTCGAGAAACTTTTGTAATAAGCATTTGAGGAATAAAAGAGGATTTTCGGGAATGTTTTTAAAAAACCGGTCCTCTCCACTTTAAATAAACAATGCACATGCACAACCTTTTAACTGCTCCCAAGAGGGAACGCCTATCAAACGCTAACGAGAGCATGGACGTCATCTTTACAAGTCATCTCTGCGAATAACCACGATTAATCACCAATCCCTGCATATAAGACTACTGGTGCATTAAAATAAAAATAAAAAAATCATGAGCTGCAATGTAAGCTTGGACATGTTTGCCGGGTAAGCCACCGTATAATGATGCAAATTACAAAATAAATTAACTTATCTGCCCTAGAAAGTTACAATATAGAGGTAGATAACCTTTTCCAGCAGTGAAATGGATTTCTCCAAATAGCGTGCTAAATTTATCTGTTGAATAGAAACTTTGCAGCGGAAGCCCGACCTGTGCTTTCATTGTACGCCATCGTATTAAGGAATCTCCCAAAAAAACTCTGGTCTTGTTTCTCTCTTCTGTGGCCTTTCTCTTCTTCTCATACACTTCGTAGACTCGTAAACATATCACCAGAATGATTGACAGTTAGGAGGACCACTTATTTAGATGATCCACCCGGAAATAAAAGATCTTCCTCCAGACATTTAAAATACTAGTTAGCATCTATCAAATTTTCATTTGGCATTAGCTTCATTTTAGTATTCGCACTCTATGCAGCTAACACAGAGTGACGCTTCCCCATATATACAAAAATTAGATGATGAATATTTATTTTGACTGGTTATAATCAGTTTTTTTTTTTTATTTATTAAACAGGGTTTTTTCCATGGCTGGTCTCAACAACAGCTGCACTTTCTTGGACGACTTCTTGAAACGTTACTACCTGTCAGCCTCTTATGGCATCATCTTTATCGTGGGTGTGATCGGGAACTTAACGTCCATCACCATCTATCTGACAAAGCTGCGCCCGTGGAAGAGCAGCAGCATCATCATGGTCAACCTGGCGCTTACGGATCTCCTCTACGTCCTCACCTTGCCCTTTTTGGTCTACTACTACAGCAACGGGGAATCGTGGATGCTTGGAGACTTCATGTGCCGCTTTGTGCGTTTTGCCTTTCATTTCCACCTGTATGGAAGCATCCTGTCCCTGACCTGTGTGGCGGTTTTCCGTTTCTTGGTGGTGACCAAGCCGCTGAGGGTGGCACAGCTGCAGCAGAAGCATTGGGGCGCTGTTGCTTGCCTGGTAGTCTGGATTGTTGCTGCTGCTGAGGTCACACCAATGCTCACTATCATATCTCTGACCCATGATGATAACATGACTTTTTGTGTTGACTTTGCTAACACAGAAACAGACGGCAGCATTAGGACATATAACCTGTTGCTCACTGCATTTGGGTTTGCTCTACCCTTAGTGCTGGTGTTCATCTTCTACATTGGGATTGTTAAACGGCTCGCCAGGGGATCCAGCCCCACCTCTTCCTACAGGATGCGTGCGCGCCGTGTGACCATCCTCATCCTGCTGGTGTTTGTCATGTGCTACCTGCCTTATCACATCTTGCGAGTCCTGTGGGTAGAAATTCGAATGAGCTCTACAACCCAGTGCACAAAGTACATAGTGCATGCAGCGTATATTATCTCCAGGCCTCTAGCAGGACTTAACACGTTCTTTAACCTGGCTTTGTACACCCTCTCAGGTGATAACTTCAGGAAGGCCTTTCTGGACATTTTTTGCCGGGAGCAATGGATCAGCAAGGCAAGATCTCTGCTCCACCTGAACATTAATAACCGAGCAGAGAATGGGACGCCTGCTGCATGAATAAAATTCATGCAGACCTGTTGTTTTTTGTAACCAAAAACCTCAACGAACACTTTCAGCTTATAGATTGTTACTTCGTAACTGGACAGTTGGTATTAGAGCAGTTTCCACTGAGTTTACATTATTAGTGCATTGAATTAGCATTCATCCTTTGTTATTTTAATCTTGATCTTCTGACTGTATTTATTATAGGAAAGTTTGGGTGTGAGGCTATAATATTTTTCTCATTATGTTTTTCCTTTCTTGACCAGTATGCTGTTTTGTATTTGCCCTGTATATTACAATAGTTCATACCATGGGTCTGCAACCTTTACAATCCAAAAATACATTTTTTTTCATTCAGTTCATCTAAAGAATACCTTTGAGTCAGAGCTGTTACAATATCTTTTAAAAAAAAGCAACATTCACAACTTTTATTGTCATTTACAAAAAGAGCATTTACTTCTATTTTGTAATAATGATAAAAGGAAATTTAGCATTAAAAGGATTTATTTTATTTTGTAATATTTTATTTTTAGACAGTTAATAAAAAAAAACTACTTTTAAAAACTAATAAAAAAAAAATATAGAAAATATATTGCGGATAGTTTAAGCGCATTATTTCTGGAAATTCAGTGTAACTATTTCATCAGAAAAATCAGTTTAGACTTTATAAATTTTAGCTAAAGTTAGAAACGGAGCCAACCCAATGCATGAACAAACTTGTCCTGACTGCGCTTTTTGGTTGTGTTTACGTTTTTTGGGTTTTTAGTTATACTTGGATTCATGTCTTTCTGTGTTTTCCAGTTTATTGGTTTACTTTCCATTTTGTGTCATTCTAGTTGTTTTTGATTGTATTTGAGTTCTTAAGTATTTCTTGATTGCCCTCTGTTGCCCTCTTGTGTCAGTCTCTTTTTCCCTAGCTCCCTTCTAGGCTCCTCTAGCCATACCTGCTCCCAATCTGCTGATTAGCCTTGTCTTTGTTCAGTCTCCCAATTATACACCTCATGTGATCAGTCATCTGCCTGTTTCTAAGTCGCTTGTGGAGAAATGTCCTAGGTTTTAAGAAAAGAGGAAAAAGGAAGCGATTCTTGTGGGATGGAAGAAGGAAATAGTGAAAACAAAGAAGATTGGAAGAGAAAAAAAGTGGAAAAATATCAACTAAAGGGGAGCCCAGATCAGAACAATCTAGTGTTAAACAATCTAGAAATTCCACGGGAGAACAAAATTATTACAAAGTCATATTCACACTAGTTAATCAGGGAGACTCTTTTGTAGATTCAAATCCGGTGCAGTTAACAAAATCAGTACACAAACTTGTAGCAGAAGTCCGAAGTGCCAAAATACTCTATGGTGGAGACCTTTTGATCAACTGCAGGAGTCATTGGAGGACTGCCTCTAAAAATAACTGACAAAGAAATACTTGAAAATGTAAGTGGTGCTAAATTAAAAGAGGTGAAATGGTTAAAAACAGCAAGAAATGGAGAAAGGTGTGAAAGCTTATCAGTGTTGATGAAATTTGAAGAAGAGCAATTACCCACACTGCAAAAAATAGAAATCTCAATAAGTTATTTTTTCTTAAAATAAGTGTGTTTTTCCTTGATTTGAGGAGGTAAGTAAGACACTTTGCCAATGGAACAAGACAATTTCCTTTTAAAATAAGAAAAAACTATTTTATCGTCTTATTTCAAGTAAATATTATCTAACTATCTTATTTTAAGAGTATAAATACTCATTCCATTGGCAAATCATCTTATTTACCTGCTCAAATTAAGGCTAAATATACTTAATTTAAGCCATTTTTTACTTATTTCTGGATTGTTTTTGCAGTGCAGTAAGGTTTTTATTGGATGCATGAGCTACATTGTCGTTATGTACAATCCTCCACCTCTAAGATGCTTCAAATGTCACAAATGTGATCATATAGCAGCAGTATGTAAATGCATACAGCGATATGGAAGGTATGCTGGGGAGCATGAATATTGAAAGTGTGGTAAAGCAAATTAAATGCTGAAATTGTGGTGGAGAACATACTCCTGCATATCCCATCCCAGTCAGAAAGACTCAACAGTTAAGAAAATTACAATTTGAAAACCTCTGGGAGAGTGCCCCAACATTGCAAAAGACTCATTGATTGTTGAAAAGAAGGATTTTGTTCTTTTTATGGTAGAATTTATCAATTGTAGTGCTCAGACGGCAAAGAAAAACAGGAAAAAAAATCTAAATTATAGTGAAAGCTGCAGAAAAGTACCTTGAAGTGAGAGATTTAAACTGGGAAACTGTTGAAAGTATGATCGGAAAACTAGTAAGACAATCAATAACTGGCAGAGACAAATTAGAAATTATGAGGACACATTTGACTATGTATTTCATTATGTAAGGGTTAAAACATACTGTTAATTCTTTTTTTTATTATTATTTATGAATTTCTTCTGGTGCAAGTCTTGTTTCCCATTTCCTCCTTATTATTTGGTGGCAGTAATGCACTTTAATTAGTTTGCCAACCACCATAAATCACTAAAGGAGAGGAAGAAGATTACACCTCATGTTCAGTCACTGTTTGCTGGTTCCTTGTTGTTGTTAGTTTCTTCCTTGTCTCTGGCTCCCGGCGCGAGTTTTCCCTGATGTTTTCTGTTTGTTTTTTGGTTCTTTGTTTTTTGGATGTCTGCCTCAGTTACATATCATTCTTGTTGGTTAACATTAAACCAACAAGAACTCAACTCTGCTTCACTCTTCTCTGCATTTGGGTCCTCAAGCATCCTTAACACTTTACTTGAAAAAACTAAGCTGCTTACACTGGAAAAAAATCGAAATCTAGATAAGTAATTTTTTCTTAAAATAAGTGCATTTGTTCTTGGATTGAGGAGGTAAAAGAGACATTTTGCCAATGGAACAAGACAATTTACCCTTAAAACAAGAAAACACAATTGCATTGTCTTATTTCAAGTGCATTTTATCTAATTATCTTATTTTAAGAGTAAAAAAACTAATTACATTGGCAAAATACCTGATTTACCTTCTCAAATTAAGAGTAAATACACCTATTTTAATACTTTTTTTACTTATTTCTAGATAATTTTTCCAGTGTAGGGCCTCAGGGAAAGAATTGAGCCCCTGAAAACAATTAATTATTAGGGATTTTTTCCCCCAAATAATTAATTGTTAATTCTATATAAATATGGTCACAAAAAGACAAAATTTCATGATGAAATAATTATTATCTATTACATCTAAATATCTTTAATCATTTAGAAATTCTTATTTAGACCTGGGAAAAAAATTTGGGGGCCAGATTGACTCACATATGAGGATTCACTGGTGTAAACTTCTCCGAAACAAAGGTATGGTTTGTTTTTTTTTTGTTTTTTTTTTTTGTTTTTTTTAGGTTTTTACGGCACTAGTGGCTCACTTTTTCAACAGGACAGGGGGCATGAGAGAAGACCACAGGTCGGATTCGAACCTACGTCGGCCGTGCACGCCCACAAACTTATGTTTTTAAAGATACACTTGATATTTTCTGTTTTTCGTCTGTTTTTGTAAAATTATTATCATTAAAATTATTATTCTAATGTGAATTGTAACTGTAAAGTGCCTTGAGATGGCAGGTGTTGTGAATTGGCACTTATAAATAAACTGAATTAGAGCAAAGCAACAATTAAAGCAAATAAAAATGGCTGAAAAGTGGAGAGGAGAGGAGAGGAGAGGAGAGGAGAGGAGAGGAGAGGAGAGGAGAGGAGAGGAGAGGAGAGGAGAGGAGAGGAGAGGAGAGGAGAGGAGAGGAGAGGAGAGGAGAGGAGAGGAGAGGAGAGGAGAGGAGAGGAGAGGAGAGGAGAGGAGAGGAGAGGAGAGGAGAGGTTTCATTGAAAACGCAAAAGGGTTCACAAAAGACTGAAAAATATGAAAAGGAACAAAAATATAAAATTCCAAAATACTTTCTTTAGCAAAGGGAAATAAAGCATCTTAGAAAAGAAACCGTTGTGCAGTGTTAACTCTTTTCAATGGTCCACGATTCAAATAACAACTGCAGCAGATATGCAGAAAAAAAGAATCACTCAGGGCTTAGTACTTTCTAAACCAACCACTTAGGTTGTTTGCAGCTTTTCTCTAAAAACCATTGAGGTTCCTTTAAGTCTTGTTTTTGTTTATCAGGGGATGTTTGAAATATCTAACTGTAGACTTCGACTTAGACAGACTTTAATGTCATTTTGTTCACACAGAGTGTATACAAAAAGAAATTTAGTTCAGTATAGCTTTCAAGATATTTTCATTTTTTAAAGTGCAGCAGTGGAGAACAGTTCATGGTGGGGGTGTGAGGGATCATTTATAATGTTACGGGCTCAGGACACGCAGAGCTGGGATGATCCTCTCTGCTGTTCTCACTACTCTCCTCACTTTCTTCCAGTCTGAGGCGTTGCAGCCTCCACACCACCCAGTGAGACAGCTGGTCAGAACGCTCTCTATGGTGCTTCTGTAGAAGGAGGTGAGGATGGGTGGGGGCAGGTGGGCTCTCCTCATCCTCCTCAGGAATGAGCATTTCTGCCCTTTTGATCAGTGAGGTGGTGTTTCCAGTCCAGGTGTGTGTGTCTGTGATTTGCACCCCCAGGAATTTGGTGCTGCTGCCCACCTCTACCGTAGCTTTGCCTCATTCAGGATCAGGCTGTTATCTTTGCACCAGCTGCTCCACCTCCTCTCTGTAGTTCTGGTAGTTGTCGTCCACCGTGGTGGCGTCTGCAAACTTCACAATGTGACTGGTGGTGAACCTGGGGACGCAGCCATGTGTCATCAGGGTGAACAGCAGTGGGCTCATGACGCAGCCCTGAGGGGAGCCTGTGCTTAGGATGATGACATCAGGTGTTCTGTCCGACCCGGACTGACTGAGGTCTGTTGGTGAGGAAGTCTAGCAGCCAATAGCAGAGGTGTGTATTGAATCCCAGCTGTTTCAGTTTTCCCATCAGATGCTGTGGGATGATGGTGTTGAAAGCTGAACTGAAGTCCAGGAACAGCATCTGCACAATGGTGTTCTTCTCCTCCAGGTGTGCCAGGCTCAGGTGGAGAGCAGCAGAGATGGCGTCTTCAGTGGAGCGGTTCCGTCGGTAGGCGAACTGGAACGGGTTGAATGTTGGCGGCAGACTAGAGACTATGTGTTCTTTAACCAGCCTTTCGAAGCACCTCATCATGATTGGAGTCAGTGTGACAGGCCGGTAATCACTGAGTGAGGTGACCTGAGGCTTCTTTGGGACCGGAATAATGGTAGCAGACTTGAAGCATGCTGGCACTACGGATCGGTCCAGCAAGGTGTTAAAAATGTCTTAGAGGACACCAGCCAACTGATCTGCACACTCCTTATTCACACACCCAGGGATGTTATCAGGCCCTGTAGGCTTCATTGGGTTAGATAAGTGTCAAAGAAAAGTTTTGCATATGTGTCTGAATATATAACTG